TGAATAGAGTTAGTTTCCTGATGGCAGATTATGTCAACCTTGGCCACTTTAAGAGGGGGGGCCTTAAACCCCCAAAATCCCCCAGCCAGCCATGCTGGCTGGGGAATTCTGGGAGTTGAAGTCCACCCATCTTAAAGTGGCCAAGGTTGACATACACTGTCCTATGGAGTAAAAGATGTGAAATTGACAAGGGGAAGGGCAATGCATGGGGGGGCAAACAAGGGGAAGGAGGGGGCCTCCCCATCTTTGCTCCCCCCCCCAAGGAATTAGTAGACAAATAAAGAAGCATTTGAAAATCTTCTGTCAAATGCTTAAGAATGGAAGAATTGCATTTTGGAAAATGTCCACCCCTTTCACATTCTTCCTGTGGCCCAACCCAGCCCGGCTCTTTTCTTGCCCATGGCAAAGGCTTTCCCCATTGACCCTCTGCCTCCCCGCCCATCGGCAGTCACAACAGGACCGTTCAAACGCTCAGGGCGAAAGTGGGAGAGCCAACCCGTTGTGGGCGCGGGGCGGCAAACGGCTGGTTATTTTTATTAGTTTTCTATTTTCTGCTTTTCCGAAAGGGGAGACGTCCGCGTGGAATTCTCAGCCTCGGCTGCCAAAATAGTTTGGCTGGCCTTGGAGGTCGTGTACCTTGACCGAAAAGAGCGGGCGGAAAGATGGGGGGAGATCTCAAGCAGCAAAACGTCTTGATCTCGCTCCGAGACGCAGGCACAGTTCCCCAGAGCAGTGAGTAAAAGCCGTTTTACCATTTGCCTGGCATTTCCCTGAGTTTCATACCAGCCAAGTTGGTATACCAAACTCACCCCTCCACCGGGGTGAATAAAACCCGCTCGTCAGGGTGGCATCGCTTGCAACGCCCAGCAGAAGAACCGTTGTATGCCAACGGTCCCAGGCTGCTGCATGCAAGCTGCTGAGATAAGGGCAACAAACCACAATCTTCATTGCAGCTTCGCCCACTAAGTTTTCTGAGCTGAGCCACCCTGCACCCAAAGCCAAGGCTTACAAATCTGGTTACCCCGGTGTGCTCAGCCAAAAAGGAAAATAAAATCCAAAAATCCAAAGCTCCACTAAGGGTTAAGCTGGCTGGCCTAGCTTCTGCTTTACGTGAATACAGCCACATCAAAACTTAGGGCAGTGTTTCTCAACCTTGGCCACTTTAAGCTGTATGGACTTCAACTCCCAGAATTCCCCAGCCAGCAGCTGGCTGGGGAATTCTGGGAGTTGAAGTCCA